GACTACTGTGTGCCAGGCACTGTTCTGGCCACGCAAGATACAGCAGTTAAAAAATTCCTGCTTTCAAGAAGCTGATGATTTTTCTTCTCTGTTACTTCATAAAATTATAAATAAGCTGCTAGTTGCTTATCATAGTATATTTCTTTTTTAAAGTGGATTTTGACAGATTATTTTTTCTTAGTTTGGTTAAATGTAGGATCCTGCTTTCTTCAGGGTTCTGATATGGGGCTTATTTTGTTTTGCTGGAGTTGGAAGAGGAGTTTGCAATGAGCGTTCTCATTACTTCTAGGTTCTGTTTCTCTATCACAGTGCACAAGCTTCTAGAGAAAAATCAGAGCACTTCTTGTCACACTTTAAAACTGCCTACTTCTACCTAGCATGCCTATTCTCCTGAAGAAAGCATGCTGGGTTGTATGTTAATCACATCCATGTAAGGGAAACAGCTGTTAAACTGCTTCAAAGATGTAGATATAAATTCTGTCCTTTGTGTAAATCAGGATTTCTTGACCTTGACACTATTAACATTTGGGGCCAGGTAACTCTTGTTTGTAGGAGGCTGTCCTGTGCATTGCAGGAAGTTTTAGCAGCATTCTTGGACTCTACCCAGTAGGTGTCAGGAGTATCCCTCCCTCTGAGTGTGACAACCCAAAATGTCTCCAGACATTGCCCAATATGTCTCTTGTAGGGGAGTGGTAAAGTTACCCCCAGCTGAGAATCACTGGTGTAAGTGATGTGAGTCTATGATTCGAGTCTCACATTCTCTAATTACAGTAGATCAGTGAAATTCCTTTGGGGGGGGGGAACATCTGGGACAGAAGTGTTTTCTGTCTGGTCTTTGCCAAAATGTGGAGCAACTTTCCACCATGAAAGAGTTAATATATGAGCAAGTTATCAGTCTGATGAAGCAACATCAACAACAAATGATGAAATTCCTTTAGTACATCATGCCTTGGAAATAGCTTGCATTTCCTATTAGAAACTTGTTAAAATCATATCCATTTACCATAAGTTACAAAGCATGTTGGACACAGTATACTGTAAGTTAATCTCAAATGATTTAGGAGTAAATGTGTTCCAGATTTGGTGAGCTCAGCTCAAGCAGTAGGCGTCTCTTTTCCAAACATTTTCATTCTCAAGAACTGACATTCAATTCAATAAGTATTTATTGAAATGTGTAATATGAGAGAGCTTTAGAACAGTCTGATACTGCTCCCATCACCCAGTCCAGCAGAAAAGCAGTGCTCAGAAGAGTGCCCAGGGGGCACTCTTCTGATGTGGCACCTCCTGCATTGGTTAGCAAGATAGTATAGAAAAGCGTGCCTTCTCCTTCGCTGCCTCAAGCCCTTCCCATCCTGTGCCAGCTGTGCCCTCCCCAGTGAATAAATGTTATTAAACATGATGTCATGTGTTTCTTATTTGATTCTTTAGTCCCAAATGGGCTGGTTTGCAATTTTGGCAGGGACCTCCACTGGCCTGTTCTACCTGACGCCTGTCGGCTTGATGGGGTATTGCAAGTCCAAAGGGGAACCATTTAACCAACTTGTATTTCTGAATCTTCTTCACTTCTCACACACATACCAGTAGATTTTAAAATGCAAGGTACACTGGTGATAAAAATCACAGGAGGGGCCTGGCACGGTGGTTCACACCTGTAATCCCAGCACTTTGGGAGGCTGAGGCGGATGAATCACCTGAGGTCAGGAGTTTGAGACCAGCCTGGGCAACATGGTGAAACCCTATCTCTACTGAAAATACAAAAAATTAGCCGGGCGTGGTGGCGGGCGCCTGTAATCCCAGCTACTTGGGAGGCTGAGGCGGAGGTTGTAGTGAGCCAAGATCACGCCACTGCACTCCAGCCTGGGCGACAGAGTGAGACTCATCTCAAAAAAAAAGTCACAGGAGGGATCGGCTTTGATACAGAGATAAAGAAAGGGTAAAAGAGAAACATAAGAGACTCCAGAATCTTCACTCATCTGGTTACTATTTATTGTTTCAGGCACTGGCAGTGTAACTATGATGAAAACAGACAGTGTCCCGCTTTCCTGGAACTTGCAGTCCACTGGGCAATGAGACAAGTGGACAGGCCCTGTTATAATATGGTGCCAGGGGTGCCAGAAGGAGGGAGATGGGGATGCCATGGGAGCGCTTGGGAAAGCAGCCCAGCCTGGAAGGGCAGGAAAGTCAGAGAACGCCTTGCAGAGGAAGCGGTGCCTTATTAACTAGGACATGAAGGATACATCGCATATCAAAGAGGAAGGGGAAAAAGTGTTCAAGGCTATGTTCCGAGACCCGAAGCGGGTGGAGGAATGGAGTCTTTGAGGATCGGAAAAGTTGGGCGTGTTTGAATAGGAGAGCTCAGACAGGAAGAGTGGGAAGTAAACAAGGAGGAGGAAATGAGGATGCTTCTCAGGATGCTGACTGGAGCAACTGGGTCACTGGCAGTCCCGTTTACTGAGATGAGGAGCCTGGGAGAAGTGGGTTTGAGGAGGGTGGGGTGGCAACAACTCAAGTTTTTAATCTGCCACTAACTCCATAACATGGGAATGATTTTTTTTTTAATGTCTTTGAAGGATGTCAAAAGCTAATGGAAATTTGAAAAGTTAATTAGCAGCTGTAAGTAATTTCGTTACTGTAGGCTATCGTGACATCCTGCAAATGTACTCGGACCTCTTAGGTTCGGCCGATTTTATTTTTCATCCAGTAACTAGTTCTTAGTTTTGATACTTAGCATCATCTTAGTGCTTAAAATTGACCAGTTTTGTGCCTGAAGATTAGGTATCCGTGAGTGAAGCAGTCTAGTGACTTGATTGAAGGTTGTATTCTGGCTTATCCAACAGTCCTGCGCCCTCTTCCTTAAATTTCCTGTGCCCTGATGGGAGTTTTTATTCTAATGTTGCATAGACTCATTCTACAGAGCATATATATTTTTTTTTTCAGATGGCTAAAGAAAGGCAGAATTGGTAAGTATGATTGGACAGTCTGTAGGCAGGTGTATGCTGTTACAGAATTTTAAGAGGTACAGGCCTCAGTCGAGGAAAGTTGCTGCATGGTGAACATTGTGCTCTTTGATGATGCTGTCATCCAGAACATATGGGGAACAAATGTGATTGTGGGGTCAAGGAACTGAGCTTCCTCCTAACCATCCCCCCAGCCACTGCCTTTCCTCATGCCCCTCATAGGCCTGAAATAGCCAACAGTGAGCCTTGTCAATTACTCCTCGTTAACTGGAGAGCAACCCAGCAACTAGGGAGCATCCCAGCTTACGTGACCCCTTTTTTGTCTCTGGCAGGAATTTAGATAATGGGCTGTGTGCAATGTAAGGATAAAGAAGCAACAAAACTGACGGAGGAGAGGGACGGCAGCCTGAACCAGAGCTCCGGGTACCGCTATGGCACAGACCCCACCCCTCAGCACTACCCCAGCTTCGGTGTGACCTCCATCCCCAACTACAACAACTTCCACGCAGCCGGGGGCCAAGGACTCACTGTCTTTGGAGGTGTGAACTCTTCGTCTCATACGGGGACCTTGCGTACGAGAGGAGGAACAGGTAAGCCCCCAAAGTCACGGAGTGTGGAGAGGGGGCAGCCGCCCTTAACTCTTTTGGCAATTGAACATCTGGGTTCCCATCACTTCCCTTTGACTAGGGGTTTCACATGTAAGTTTCTAATATGTCTCCTCTACTAGATGAGGGGCTGTAAGAAAAGCCAGAGCTTGGTGTACAAACAAAATGCTTGGCTACAGGGTTGCAAGGTGCCCCAAGTTGCTGCTCTGAGGATTCTGTATGGGTTAGTGAGCTACAGCTTTCTACTGAGGCACTGTAGGTTAATGACTCTCAGCCTCGCCTGGCTGGTTGGCACAGAAGAACTAGGGCAGCCTTTTCAAAACACGGATGCCTGAGCCATGTCCCAGTCTTTTGAATTAGAGGCTCCAGGACTGGGTCTGGGTGTGTGTATTTTGAGTTCTCTAGATATTAATGTACTCCCTCTTCCCACCCACTTCTTCCTAATCCTCAGCCTGCCTTTCTCTTTTTCTTTTTTTTTTTTTTTTTTTTTTTTTTTTTTTTTTTTTGCAGTTTCCGTGTCTTTCGTACCACAAGGCTGTATTTTGCTGCCATGTGTATTTGCTGACTTAGCTAATACTTTGTAAAATATCTGGCATACATTCTCAGACATATGTTTTCCAAAATATTTGTAAGTTATCTCATGCATCCTTAGTCGTCCAAATTTTCTCTTGAGTATGTGAACCATGGTAACTAGATATTTGACATTATTTGTTCCAAAATTATTTTGTTTATTGCAAAAGTTTGAAAGAACACAGCATCTCTCAGCTCATCTGGCAGCAGATGTCTTATATAAAAGTTTTAAAGAATACGATATCTTTCAACCCATCTGGCAGCAGGTACCTTTTCACCTAGGGAGGAGGCACTACTAAGGCATCAGCAAGTATTTTTTCCCTCTGCACCAAACACACATCAGTGTAGTTGTATCAAAAGGCCTGACCCTGAGCCTTTGGACATGATCTACTTCTCTTCTGCTAGCCTAGCACGCTCTGCCCAGTAGAAGTGTTTATGTTCACCCTCCTGCTGTGGTGACTCTAGCTTTCCTTTCAACCCAGGCCTTGCATGGGTTGAATACATGCTAAGTATCTTTACCCATCCCTCCCACCTTCCAAAGGCACCCGGAAAGGAGAGATGCAGACAGGCAGTCTAAAGCCATCTGTCTTCTGGGGATGCAGGAGAAAAAAAGAGGCGAAAACACACCCAGCGCAACCCCCATCGTCGTGCCTA